AAAAAAAAAAAAAAAGAAGAAGAAGAAGGGGGTAAAATTAGGAATGACCCCTGAGATTCTGGCTTGGGTAACAGTGCATCATGGTACAACTCGCTGAGATAGAGAACCAAGGAAGCAAAGATAGTTTTGGAGTGAGGATGAAGGTAAAGGCAGGATGACATGTTAAATTTAGGACATACTGAGTTTGAACAGCTTGGTGGAATGCACTTGGCTACTGGGGTCCAACACAGACTTGGGCTGGAGCTCTGGTCATGAGTGATCAACACAGACATGGTGGTTACACTACAGAGGTATATGGGATTGCTCTAGTAAAGGGCACCAAGACAGAAGAGAAGACCAGGACAGAACCCTGGAAAATTACCACATTAAAAAGTGGAATTGATAAGTGTATTAGGTGAATGGAAAAAGAAAAAAAAAAGTGGAATTGAGCAAGATGAGCCTGCAAAGGAGAATGAGAAGCAAACAGGCAGGAGGGAAACCAAGAGAGTATAGTTATCATAGAAACTAAGAGAAGAAAAGGCCTCAAGAAGGATCAATAGTGCCAGAACTGCTGAGAGATCAAGTAAGTTAAGGACTGAGAAGTACTCAGAGAATTTGAGCAATGCAGGATTTCAGAAGACCATGGAGGGACAGCATAAGTAGAGGACAGCAGCAGGGCCTAATTAGAGCAGCTTAACAGTGAACAGGAAGAAAGTTGGAGCAGTGAGTAAGTAAACTCTCAACAAGTGTGGCATAGACTAGCAGAAATGGGAAGTAGACATGTAGTGGCAGCTATTTAATGGTTGTTTTCAAAAATGAGAGAAATTTAAACACCTTTCAGTGCTGATGGAAGAAGCCATTTACATTACGGGCAGAGAAGGTCAGTCTCTACAGAACCTCATCTCTCAGAAAGAAAGGAGAAGGGTTGCAAGTGCATATTCTGAGCGGTAGTCTTAAACCAGGGGAGGGATACTTCCCCAACTTTAATGGGAAAGAAAGATGGTTGTCAATACAGGGAAGTTTCTGCTTTGGTGGCTGGAGGCTGACAAATCTGATGGCTTCTCTTTTCTCTTTGAAGGTGGAGAAGAGGTTGTCAGAAGCAACAAGAGTTTGAGGAGGAGAGATATTAGATATCATAGTTCTATGATAATTATATGCATCTAGAGACAAAAAGATCACCAGATAATATAGGGACTCTGAATTTTATATATCACCATTCTGGTTTTCTTTGTTTTTTTTTTCCAAAGAAGCAGTTAGCTCTATGGTACCCCAAATCCAATTGAACTGGAATATATGATATTTCCCACTCTTAAAATTTCATTCTGGCCAGGTACAGTGGCTCACACCTGTAATCCCAGCACTTTGGGAGGCCGAGGCGGGCGAACCATGAGGTCAGGAGTTCGAGACCAGCCTGGCCAACATGGTGAAACCCGTCTCTACTAAAAATACAAAAATTAGCCAGGCATGGTGGCGCATGCCTGCAGTCCCAGATCCTTGGGAGGCTGAGGCAGGAGAATCGCGCGAACCCAGGAGGCGGAGATTGCAGTGAGCCAAGATGGCACCACTGCACTCCAGCCTGGGTGACAGAGTGAGACTCTGTCTCAAAAAGAAAAAAAAATTATTCTAATTTTACTTCTTTTTTTTTTTCTGTTTGTTTGTTTGTTTCTGAGACAGAGCCTCACTCTGTCACCCAGGCTGGAGTGCAGTGGCACGATCTCAGCTCACTGCAACCTCTGCCTCCTGAGTTCAAGCGATTCCCCTGCCTCAGCCTCCCAAGTAGCTGGAACTACAGGTGCCTGCCACCATGCCCAGCTAACTTTTTGTATTTTAGTAGAGACGGGGTTTCACCATGTTGGCCAGGATGGTCTCAATCTCCTGACCTCGTGATCCTCTCCACTCGGCCTCCCAAAGTGCTGTGATTACAGTTGTGAGCCACCACGCCTGGCAATTTTACTTCTTTCAAAAGAAAGAAAACAGTTTCTGGTGCTATCAGAAATATTCCCATGCTCTTCAACATCTGTTGTGCTTTTGAGAAGCTATTCTGTATTCAAGGAGCTGTATCCTCACCCTGTGACCACCCCTTAAACTCTCTTTTAAACCCTCTCAGCCTCTTTCTTGTTTGCCCCTCTCTGTGACATTTATGTCCAGCCTGCCATTATTAATGTACCTGTTACCTCTCACATGTTCAAGGGAAAGAATCTAATGTTTAGAGCACCTACTATGTATCAGACACTTTCAGTTGTTTTTACTTCAGTGATACAATTTACATCCCCACAATATAGCAGGGAGATATTATCCCTACTCTTACAGACAAAGAAACTAAAGCTAGGAGAACCTAAGGTCATGTGGCTACTAAATGACCAAGCAAGGATTAGATCTCAGTCTGTCTGACTCCAAAACCCATTACTCTGCTGCAAGCTCCCAAGGAGCAAGCAATCTTCTGATTCATCATTATACACCTCATGGGAACTCAAACAGCACTTTGCACATAGAAAATGCTTGATAAATATTATTGATTTGAACTATGACTTGACCCCTTGAATATCTTCAGTGTTCTGGCAATTTAGTATGTGCCCAACTTTCTCTAAGAAGCTATACTATTCAGCTTGGTTTTAAAAAAAAATGCTCTTTAGGTTCAGCAAGGGCATCATATGTGCTAACTTTACAATGTAGACAGGAAGATGGCAAAATGAAAGCACTCTCTTCCTCTAAATGACTTTTTTAAATTTAATAATCCCATCAGGGAAGTTAACAGTTTGCAGTAATATGGCAACAATGAAACCACCAAACAGAATCTCCCATGCAATCATTGGAATAAATGAGCAGAAGCATGACCAAATTCTAACTGACGCTATCCTCTTTTCACTTTTCAGGAGTATAACATGTATGGCTGGTGGGTGGGAGAACTGAACAGCCTCGTTGGGATTGTTCCAAAGGAGTATCTCACCACCGCATTTGAAGTGGAAGAAAGATGAATCCCAGGTATCAGAACCATTGTCAGTGAACTGCCTGTTAGTTGAGTGGAACTTGTGGGCCACTACTTTGTTTCTCTGAAAGATGAGATTTGCCAGTAAAGTAGCTTTTCTTCATTTCCCAAACTAATGCTAATGATTCACAACTGATGGAAAGAAAATAAGTCTGGAATTGTTTTTTCTTAAATTTGGGGACAGTGTCACTTAAGATAAGGTTCAACTAATAGCAATATAAAATCCAAACTAAAAGTGACAATACAGAAGGCTGAGCGATGTAATCCCTGCACTTTGGGAGGCTGAGGTGGGCGGATCACTTGAGGTCACCAGCCTGGCCAACACGATGAAATCCCCTCTTTACTAAAAATACAAAAGTGAGCTGGGCATGGTGGTGGGCGTCTGTAATCCCGGCTATTCAGGAGGCTGAGGCAGGAGAATCACTTGAACCGAGGAGGCGGAGGTTGCAGTGAGCTGAGATTGTGCCACTGCATTCCATCTAAAAAAAAAAAAGTTAACACAGAAATGTATTTTTCTGCCAGGCACGGTGGCTCACGCCTGTAATCCAAGCACTTTGGAGGCCAAGGCGGGCGGATCACCTGAGGTCAGGAGATCAAGACCAGCCTGACCAACATGGTGAAACCCCGTCTTAAGAAAAAGAAAAAGGCCGGGCGCGGTGGCTCAAGCCTGTAATCCCAGCACTGTGGGAGGCCGAGGCGGGTGGATCACGAGGTCAAGAGATCGAGACCATCCTGATCAACATGGTGAAACCCCGTCTCTACTAAAAATACAAAAAAAAAAAAAATTAGCTGGGCATGGTGGCGTGTGTCTGTAATCCCAGCGACTCAGGAGGCTGGGGCAGGAGAATTGCCTGAACCCGGGAGGCGGAGGTTGCGGTGAGCCGAGATCACGCCATTGCACTCCAGCCTGGGTAACAAGAGCGAAACTCCGTCTCAAAAAAAAAAAAAAGAAAGAAAGAAAAAGAAAAAAAAGAAATGTATTTTTCTCTTCTGTAAAAATATAAGGAAAGTGGTCCAAGGTATCCAGTCCTAGGTACCTTTTCTTTTTGTTCTTCTCTATGCGTCCAACATTCCCAAGGTTACCTCATGGCCAAGACAGATGCTCCAGCTCCAGCCATCTTGTCTGCCTCCTCCACAATACAGCAGGAAAGATAAAAGGAGAAAGTCAGGCCGGGCACAGGGGCTCACACCTGGAATCCCAGCACTTTGGAAGGCTAAGGCAGGAGGATCACTTGAGGTCAGGAGTTCAAGACCAGCCTGGCCAACATGGTGAAATCCTGTCTCTATTAAAAATACAAAAAATTAGCCGGGCATGGTGGCACGCCCCTGTAATCCCAGCTACTCAGGAGGCTGAGGTAAGAGGATCACTTGAACCTAGGAGGCAGAGGTTGCAGTGAGCCAATATCATGCCACTGCACTCCAGCCTGGGCAACAAACAGAGTGAGACTCTGTCTCAAAAAAAAAGGAGGTCAGGCCCAGTGGCTCACACCTGTAATCCCATTACTTTGGGAGGCCAAGGCAGGCAGATCACAAGGTCAGGAGTTTGAGACCAGCCTGGCCAACATAGTGCAACCCCGTCTCTACTAAAAATACAAAAATTAGCTGGGTAAGGTGGCACATACCTGTAGTCCCAGCTACTGGGAGGCTAAGGCAGGAGAATCACTTGAACCTGGGAAGCAGAGGTTGCAGTGAGCTGAGACCACGCCATTGCACTCCAGCCGGGGTGACAGAGTAAGACTCCATCTCGAAAAAAAAGAAAAGCATACCCTCTCCCTTAAGGGCACTTCACAGATGTTGCACACAAACTTCCTCTCACATTCCATTGGCCAGAAGTTGGAATGCACCATGTCCAGCTTAGAATTGAGAGATTCATGATTAAATACAAATGGAAGAATGGATATTGGGAGAAACCTAGGAATTTTGCCACAGGGTTGGATCTGGGTTTATCCCCAGCTCTCAAGTCCAGGGCACCATTTCCCCAAAATGCCCACATATTGCAATATGACTGACCCAAGATTAAAACTCCAATATAAGGATTCCTATGGAAATTAATCAAATCAAATTAAGTAATAAAGAATATCGTTTGCAGGGCCAGGCGCAGTGCCTCACACCTGTAATCCCCTTTGGGAGGCCAAGGCAGAAGGATCACTTGAGATCAGGAGTTTTTTTTTGAGATGGAGTTCCGCTCTTGTTACCCAGGCTGGAGTGCAATGGCGCGGAGATCAGGAGTTTGAGACCAGCCTGGGCAACATAGTGAAAACTCATATCTACAAAAAAAAATTTTTTTTGATAATTTTTTTGAGACAGAGTCTTGCTCTGTTACCCAGGCTGGAGTGCAGTGGGGGTATCTCAGCTCACTGCAACCTCCGCCTCCTGGTTTCTTGCAATTCTCCTGCCTCAGCCTCCTGAGTAGCTGGGACTACAGGCACATGCCACGCCCAGCTAAAATTTTTTGTGTTTTAGTAGAGACAGGGTTTTACTGTCTCTCCTGAGCTCAAGCAGTCAGCTCACCTCGGCCTCTCAAAGTGCTGGGATTACAGGATTTTTGTATTTTTACTAGAGATGGTGTTTTATCATGTTGGCCAGACTGGTCTGAACTCCTGACTTCAGGTGATCTGCCCACTTCAGTCTCCCAGAGTGCTGGGATTACACGAGCTACCACATCTGCCCCACCAAAAAATGTTTTTTAAATTAGCCAAGTGTGGTGGTGCTCGTCTGTAGGCCCAGCTACTTGGGAGGCTAAGGTGGAAGTACTGCTTGAGCCCAGGAGGTTGAGGCTGCAGTGAGCCATGACTGTGCCACTGCACTCCAGCCTGGGTCAACAAGACCCTGTCTCCAAAAAAGAAAAATAGGTTTGTGTTTTATTAGCAAGAACCACATTGTGTTTCAAAATAGTGGAAGTAGGTGCTTGGTTGGGTGGAGTAATAGTGGGAGCTGCTTTGGTGCAGAGTGGGTTTTGGTTAAAATTAAGATGCTGATGGAGGGCCCCTAAGACCAGCATGTTGTCGCTAGCACCATCTTCTACCCTGAAATGGGAGTAGTCTTCATTGCTCAGGGGAAAGAATGGCATCAATGTGATAGTGATACAAACAGTCCTTGGAGTCCAGACCAGAGCCCACTCTAGTGTGCAGGAGCAGCTGGGTGAATTCATTTAGGAAGATACATAAGGATAGATCTTATTCTCCAATGCCCTTGTACACCCATACAACACCTGCTCGGGCCTGTCACTCAAGGTTTGACTTTATGACTTTCCTGATGAAGACTCTGTTCCCTGGCCATAAGTGTAGATGGTTGGAATTTTTCTGTCAAATCTAAACAAATTCACCCAACCAGGCGTGGTGGCTCACGCCTATAATCCCAGCACTTTCAGAGGCCAAGGCAGGCAGATCACTTGAGGTCAGGAGTTCAACACCAGCCTGACCAACATGATGAAACCCCATCTCTACTAAAAATACAAAAATTAGCCAGACGTATTGGCGGGCACCTGTAATCCCAGCTACTTGGGAAGCCGAGGCAGGAGAATTGCTTGAACCCGGGAGGCGGAGGTTGCAGTGAGCCGAGATCGCACCATTGCACTCTAGCCTGGGCAACAGAGAGACTCCATCTCAAAAAAAAATAAATAAATAGGCTGGGCGTGGTGGCTCATGCCTGTAATCCCAACACTTTGGGAGACTGAGGCAGGTGGATCACAAGGTCAGAGACCATCCTAGCTAACATGGTGAAACCCCATCTCTACTAAAAATGCAAAAAATTAGCCAGGCATGGTGGCATGCGCCTGTAGTCCCAGCTACTCAGGAGACTGAAGCAGGAGAATCGCTTGAACCTGGGAGGCTGAGGTTGCAGTGAGCCAAGATCACACCACTGCACTCCAGCCTGGGTGACAGAACGAGACTCAGTCTCAAAAAAATAAATAAAACAAAATAAATAAAAATAACAAACAAATTTACCCTTTTTCACTTGGTCATTTATTTATTTATCTCTTTATTGTCCTTGGCCCAACCATTCTACTTCTTTTTTTTTTTTAAAGACAGGGTTTCACCATGTTGGCCAGGATGGTCTCGAACTTCTGATCTCGTGATCCGCCCGCCTCGGCCTCCCAAAGTGCTGGGATTACAGCCAACCTTTCTACTTCTAAGAATTTATCCTATTGACCATTTTTGGTTTGGGTAAAAAAAGAAAAAAAAGAAAGAAATTACCCTGTAGCTATACTTGCACACACGCAAAATGACAGGCCCATAAGGTTCATTGTAATAGCAACGACTCGGAAACGACCAAAATGTTTAATAGAGAACTAGTCAAATAACTATTGTACATTCATAGAATTGAATATTATGCAACAGTAAAAAAGGGAAACTATTATGGAACACATTCTGAGATATGTTGCTAAGTTAAAAAAAAAAAACAACAGCAAAGAATGGAAGCCACATTTGCCCCATTTGTATAAAAAAAGACTGGAGACTATATATACCTATTTGTTTATATTTGCATGGGATATTTCTGGAAGGAGACACAAAATGATGCCATGGTTGCCTCCAAGGAGAGAGAAACAGAGACAGAGTAGAGGGGAAAATGTTATACTCTGTGCCCTTTAATACGTCTATATTTTGAATCAGAAAAGCAAATTTATATATTTTTCCTCCTTTAGGAAATATATTCTTCCCTCTATCCTGCCTTTATGAGGAAATTGATAATCGAAAGTTCCCACTCCCTACTTCTGCCACCCCACCAACGCCTTGGATTTCTCTCTTTACTGAAGAGACCCAAGTTTCTGACACCTCATAGTGACTGTAAGCTACCAGTAAGACAAGTGGGAAGAGGCCCTTTCATCAAACCTGTTACTAAACCAGCCTACTCATAGCTCATCCCCTTCTCTAAATGTATCCACACATCCACATTTGCCTTTTCCACAAGCTTTTCACAAAGAAGGTGAGAGAGAAGGAAACCTTGGGAGGAGGACATTGCTGGTTGTTCTGGCTGGTTTGAAAAGCACAAATAAACTTGAGATTTGGTTCCTTGACATGTGTGATTATGTTGAGTTCCTTCTTGTAATGGTATCAATATGTCAGCTCTGGGCATTTTCACCACCTTCCAACAAAGTGGGGACAGCCCAAGAGAAAAGCCCAAAGAAAGGAGGAGACTTGTAATTGTCTTTCAGAGCGCTCTTCTCTGGAACCCAGGTCTGCTGTTTTCTTTCTTTGTCCTTTTCTTTTCTTTTCTGATTTTATTTTATTTTATTTATTTTATTTTATTTTTTTATTTATTTTATTTTATATTTTATTTTATTTTATTTTATTTTTTTTATTTTTTTTTATTTTGAGACAAGAGTCTTACTCTTGCTCTGTTGCCCAGGCTGGAGTGCAGTGGCGTGTTCTTGCTCACTGCAACCTCCACCTCCTGAGTTCAATCAATTCGCCTGCCTCAGCCTCCCGAGTAGCTAGGATTACAGGTGCCCACCACTACACGTGGCTTATTTTTGTTTTTTTGTTCGTTTGCTTGTTTGTTTGTTTTTGAGACGGAGTCTTGCTCTGTTCCAGGCTAGGGTGCAGTGGCATGATCTCGGCTTGCTGCAACTGCCCCCTCCCTGATTCAAGCAATTCTCCTGCCTCAGCCTCCCAGGTTGCTGGGATTACAGGTGCACACCACCATAGCTGGCTAATTTTTGTACTTTTAGTAGAGATGGGGTTTCACCATGTTAGTCAGGCTGGTCTTGAACTCCTGACCTCAAGTGATCCACCCGCCTCGGCCCCCTAAAGTGCTGAGGTTATAGGGTGGCTGGACCACCATGCCTGGCCGATTTTTGTATTTTCATAGAGACAGGGTTTCACCATGTTGGCCCAGCTGGTCTCAAACTCCTGAGCTCAAATGATCCACCCGCCTCAGCCTCCAAAAGTGTTGGGATTACAGGCATGAGCCACCCGTCACTCCTAGCCAGCTACATGGTTTTTTTTTTTTTTTTTTTTTTTTTTTTTTTTTTTGGTTTTATTTGTGGGAGAACCAGAAGCAAGGCCTTGGAGTCAGCACATTGAAGAGTTCCTCTTCAGGCCTTGGGTTACTTAACCCATGTGTCTTGCACTACAACACCTCCCAGGTAGGGGCTGAGGAAGTGCTCTGAAGAGGACTTAAATATGGATACAGGGCTCCCTTTTTCTCTTTCCTGTTGCCTGTACCAAGCACTCAGGTTACCTGCACATTAAGAGGCGGCAAAACATAGTTATTAAGAGCATAACATCTACAACCAGACAGCCTGGGAATAAATCTCAGTTCCTTGTCTACTGTGCTCTCTAGAACAAGTTGTTTGACTTTTTATGCCTCAGTTTCCTAACCTTAGAAGGGATATACTCTATTCACTGTGTATAAGTGATTAGGAAGATTAAATGATTTAACATGTGTAATGGTACTTGGAACAATGCCCAGCACATAATAACTGCTCAATAAGGGTAACTGATATTATTGCCTGACTCTACAGGAAAAATGTTGAAAGACAGGCAACTGAGCAGCTATAGAAATGCCTATTCAGGCCCAGGCATGGTGGCTCACACCTGTAATCCCAGCACTTTGGGGGGCCGAGGGGGGCAGATCACGAGGTCAGGAGTGTGAGACCAGCCTGACCAACGTGGTGAAACCCTGTCTCTACTCAAAGCACAAAAATTAGCCAGGCATGGTAACACACACCTGTAATTGCAGCTACTCGAGGGGCTGAGACAGGAGAATTGCTTGAACCTGCGAGGCAGAGGTTGTAGTGAGCTGAGATCACGCCACTGCACTCCAGCCTGGGCGACACAGTGAGACTGTCTCAAGAAAAAGAAAAAGAAATGACTGTTCAGAGAAGCTCTGGATTGGTGGTAGCCTTCCTCTCCTCTGTAATGACCACTTTGCAGCACTGGAGTAAGACATCCATCTTATATCACAAGAGAAAAACCAGGGAGCAAACAGATGTCAGTGGGCTCGAACTTTCTCAAAAAAAAAAAAAAAAAAAAAACTCATACCAACTATGCATTTCCAGATTATCTGACCCAGGAGTAAAAAGAAGGAAGCCGTTTTGTGTATTATGAATAATTACATGGATGAAAAGAGGAAATTTTAGGTTTAGGAGGAAAAAAACCCAAGTGAGATAAGGGCAGTATAGAAGTGTCCATACATAACGTCCCCTCCGCTTCACACAGGGTGCTAAAGGAGAAGGAACCACTAGGTGGCAGCATATGAGCAGGTGAACCAAAGAGAACCAAATGCCTCCGGTTTTAGGAGCCTTTGCACCAATCCCATCCCACAGGTAAGGACAATGGCCATTATTCTAAACTGTTTTAACAGAGGGAGCAAACACAAACTCTTCTATACCCCTCCTCTGCCACCCAGCTCTCTCCCACCTCCCCATCCTTCCCTGAAGACCCAGGGACCCAAATCGGAAAGGCTGGGTGGCTAAGAGGCCAGAATATCATCGTGCCACGGCTCTGTGGCTGAAAGACAACAGAAAAGGGGATACCAGAAAATAAAGAGCAGGGATGTAGGGCAGGATAAGAAGCTGAAAAAAAAGGTCTGCAGGGCGCGGTGGCTGATGCCTGTAATCCCAGCACTTTGGGAGGTCGAGGCAGGCGGATCACAAGGTCAGAAGTTTGTGACCAGCCTGGCCAACATGGTGAAACCCCATCTCTATTAAAAATACCCCAAAAATTAGGCAGGCGTGGTGGTGTGCGCCTGTAATCCCAGCTACGCAGGAGGCTGAGGCAGGAGAATCGCTTGAACCCGGGAGGCAGAGGTTTGCTGTGAGCCGAGATCGTGCCACTGCACAGAGTCTGGGCAACAGAGTGAGATTCTGTCTCAAAAAAAGAAGACCGGGCACGGTGGCTCACGCCTGTAATCCCAGCACTTTGGGAAGCCGAGGCGGGCGGATCACGAGGTCAAGAGATCGAGACCATCCAGGCCAACATGGTGAAACCCCGTCTCTTCTAAAAAATACAAAAAAATAGCTGGGCGTGGTGGCGCGCACCTGTAGTTCCAGCTACTCAGGAGGCTGAGGCAGGAAAATTGCTTGAACCCCGGAGGCGGAGGTTGCAGTGTGCCAAGACAGTGCCACTGCACCCCAGCCTGGCCACAGAGTGAGACTCTGTCTCAAAAAAAAAGGAAAAAGAAAAGAAAAAGGTCAAGGTAACTTCACTCCCTGGCTCTCTAAATCGTATGGCCATTGGCTTTCAGCATTTAAAAAAAAAAAAAAAAAAAAAAGTCCCTTCTATACCTGTAAACCAGAAGAAACAGCCACTTGCCAAACTACAAAGGCTTTTGGGTACCTCCATACACCCCACAGTAAGTATCACACTCAGATCTCTGGCTCTTCTGGCTGTGAAACTTAGCAGAAAAAGAAATCAGATTGGCACTAAAGTATAAAAACAAATGGCTTGATTGGAAATCTGGTCTGTAGCTGTTGTGGCTCTGACACTGTTATATGAAAAAAAAAAAAGGTGGGGGTAGGGTGGCGTGGGTAGAGCATGTTTGATGGGTTGATGAGGCAATCTACAGGCGGAGGGACATTCTCTGCTAGGGGATAGTTTTAAAAGAGACTTTTGAAGTAGCAGATTCCTACAGTGTTGGAAACTAAACCTCACCCAGCAAAACTGCTCCCCACCCAATTAGCCACCGTCTTAGCTGACAGCCTCAGATGGCAACAGGCTAATCAGATTACTGCTCCTCTGTTTGACTGTACTATCCAAATCCTCACCTCACTGCCTGCCACTAACCGGATAACTGGGGCATTAGATGACTTAACTAACCACATTATTTGCAGGATGGCTTCTTAATCACCACCAATTTTTCTGGCAAGTGAAATAGGGGAGAGGTGGAGATGAAAGGCTTTTTTCCTGATCCTAAATTTAAGAAGTAAATGTGAAAAAAAAAGAAGAAGAAGAAAGAAAAAAAGAAGTAAACATGGAATCATTTACACAGAATGTCCTGACACCCAGTCACTAATCTAACCTGGGACTGGCACAGTTTGGCCCGAATTGTCCAAGCTGGTATCTAAGAATACTAAATGCTCTGAAAGCAATCTTTCAGCTACATTTCATTAAACATACGTTTTTCTAGTGTGTTTTCCCTATCATCCACATAGCAAAATAGCATAGACATTGTTTTGCAATTACCTCAATATTGTCTCCATATGATGGCCTGGTATATCTCTTAGAAATCTGTATTTAATTAAAAACCAACTATATCTTTCTCGATGGTGAATAAAAAATGGGAAAGAGGTAAGAATTTCTATTAAGTCTTATTCCCTAAACTCAGGTTGATTTTGTTTTCAACTAGAGTAGCGTCAAAGATAGGGCTGAGGGCCGGGCGCGGTAGCTCAAACCTGTAATCCCAGCACTTTGGGAGGCCAAGGCGGGTGGATCATGAGGTCAAGGGATCGAGACCATCCTGGTCAACATGGTGAAACCCCGTCTCTACTAAAACTACAAAAAATTAGCTGGGCATGGTGGCGTGTGCCTGTAATCCCAGCTACTCAGGAGGCTGAGGCAGGAGAATTGCCTAAACCCAGGAGGCGGAGGTTGCGGTGAGCCGAGATCGCGCCATTGCA